AAAAAGAGAGAGAAGTTCAAAACAAATGTGCTCAACAACTATTTTCAAATATGCACAGGAAAAATTAAACATTACACGCAGAATGGATGTGGAGCAAACCAACAAAAACTGAAAGGAAAGATCCCTAAGTGAACAAATCGAAGGACTCAGAAGTGGATATTTTCTTTCCTATGTTTACAGAATAGTGTATTTGTCAGGGTTCCCCAGAGAAACAGACTCCAAACATTCATTATAGGGATTGGCTCACACACTCAGAGAGGCTAAGAGGTCCCACACCACATGCTACCTGCAAGCTGGAAACCAGGAAAGTGAGTAGTATAATTCAGTCCGAGTTCAAAAACCTGAGAACCAGGTGAATAGCTGAGGCCAAAGGCTTGAGACCTGGAACTACAATGTCACAGGGCAGGAAAAGATGGCTGTTTGAACTCGAGGAGAGAGAAAGAAAGAATCTGCCCTTCCTGGAGTTTTCGCTCTATTTGTGCCCTCAACAGACTGGATGATGCCCGCCCACCATGGTCAGGGCAGATCTTTTTTACTCAGTCCAGTTCAAATGCTGATTTTCTCTGGTCCTCACAGACATACTCAGAAATGTTTTACTAACTATCTGAGTATCCCTTAGACCAATAAGGCTGACATGTAAAACTAACCATCACAAATAATAATGCTATTATTATTTCAAACATGCAAGTACACTTTAAAAAATGGTTTTAAAGCTTATGAAACACTTGGAACAACTAATAACCAAAAATTATACTTCATATCAGTTTGCTACATTTTACTTGACAGGACCAAGTTACTTCCTACACCAGGAAATGTATTTGGTATTTTAATTTATACATATGCCTATATATCCACAAGCTTGACAGTACATCACACAAGTGAAATCCTAACTGGGGTAGTGGTGGGGTGGGCAGCCTCTGACTTGGCCCCCAGTGATCCTTGCCTTTTAATATTCATGCTTTAGTATACTCCACTCCCCTTGAGTTTGGGCTGGATTTAGTAATTTGTTTCTAACAAAGAGAATACTGTAAAAGTGGTGAGATATCATTCCTGCAATTAAGTTACGGTCTGTGACTTCCATCTTGCCAGCAGACTCTTTCTTTGGCTCTTCTCCCAGACTTGCTCTGATGGGGCAAGTTAGAGAGGCCCACATTCTAAGGAACTGAGGGTGGCGTCTACCCAACTGCCAGTGGTGAACCAAGGCCCTCAGTCCAACAAACTTGAAGGAGTGAACTGAGGCAGATTCTCCTCAATTCAGTGCTTCACATGAGACCATGGCCCTGGAAGACACTTTGATTACAGTCTGGTGAGAGACCCTGAACCAGAGGACCCAGCCAAGTTGTGACCAGATCCACAGAAACTGGGAGAGAATAAATGTGTAGTGCTTTATACTGTTAAGTTTTGAGCTGAGATTACTAACACAGTAGTTAACCTAATGACTGAGCCAGTGCTTCCAGTTATTTCCACTATGATAATAATAGCTGATACTTATATAAAACTTTTAAGTTCTAGGTATTCTTTATATCAAAGAAAGTGAAAGTGAAGTCGCTCAGTCGTGTCTGACTCTTTGCTACCCCATGGACTGTAGCCTACTAGGCTCCTCCGTCCATGGGATTTTCCAGGCAAGAGTACTGGAATGGGTTGCCATTTCCTTCTCCAGGGGATCTTCCCGACCCAGGGATCTAACCCAGGTCTCCTGCATTGTAGGCAGATGCTTTTACCGTCTGAGCCACCATTCTTTATATAATTTCTCACAAAAGTCCTTTGAAGAACATATTACTACCCCCCTTTTACAGATGAGGAAACAAAGGTACAGGGAGACTCAATAACTTGCCCAAGGTCACATAAGCAAAGTATGACAGCAACTGTCTGAACCTAGGTGTCTTGTTTCCAGAGCAAGGAGTCATAGCAATCGTGCAAAGAGAACTGCTAAGGGCTCAGACTGGATATTATGAAAATAGTAACCTCATAGCATGGCACCAGAGGAGCTTCAGAGACATAACAGAGATTAGAAGCCATGCTAAATGCTAAAAACAGAAGGGAAGCCTGCTTTCTGACTGAAATGCCTTATCTAGGGGGGGAAAAAATAGAGTAGAAGCAATAATACAGTGAATGGAATGTGATCTAGAATTGATTGAATTCACACTTAAAATGAAATATACACTTTCTTATACCCAATGTGAGAAATTAACAGCCCCCATTTGGTATGAAACACTACACCCCAAGAGGCTACAGTTGTACTTTTCCCAATGGCAATTATAAGTAAGAAGTTAAGTGTGTTAAGCCAGTGGGAAAAGGAGCAAATTTCTAGTGAGCTCTGAGACTAAAGGAGATCAGTCCTGGGTGTTCATTGGAAGGACTGATGTTGAAGCTGAAACTCCAATACTTTGGCCACCTGATGCAAAGAGCTGACTCATTTGAAAAGACCCTGATGCTGAGAAAGATTGAGGGCAGGAAGAGAAGGGGATGACAGAGGATGAGATGGTGATGGATGGCATCACCGACTCAATGGACACGGGTTTGGGTGGACTCCGGGAGTTGGTGATGGACAGGGAGGCCTGGCATGCTATGATTCATGGGGTCACAAAGAGTCGGACATGACTGAGCGACTGAACTGAACTGAACTGAGATGCCACTGAGGATGTTTTATCACATGGAGTGAAAATCTCCCAGGCTAGGGAGATTCCAGGAAAGAATCACTTCCTGTCTTGCCTTCAGATTACCAGGTTAAATAGCACTCCTTCATGCTCCCACACACTCTCTATTCACATAAGACAGTAGGTACCATACCTATGGGTTAGTCTGTGTTTTCCATTAGGCTTCAGGTTCTGAAGCCTCACAGACTGGCCTCACAGACTATTTTATTCACTGGGATGTTGTCAAAACACAGCATGAGGTCTGTTACATGGCAAGTGCTAAATATGTAAGTTTGTTGAATGAGGAAATAATTTATGTAGTGAATTGCATTTAATGCATCATTTCAACGGTATATGTCAGTAAAGGTATGAGGTTTTGTTTTGTTTTGAAGTGTTGTATAGTTCGCTAGCTTTCCTGGCACTTTAAACAGGTCTTTATGTTTATGTTAGGTCGCTACATGACTTAGTGACTAAACAAGAGCAAAAATGAGTATTTATACAATTCTCTTCCTAGACAAGATTCTTGCCTCAGTCTTAGCTGGTGACTGCTTTTAAATATTTCTTTATGAATGAAAGCAGGTTAGATGTAACTTAAAAACTCCAGATTACCCTAGATTAAAAGGCATTTGCTCAAGTAAAATATTATAAATTAACTATCTGTTGTTGTTGTTCAGTCGTTCAGTCGTGTCCGACTCTTTGCAACCCCATGGACTGCAGCACACCAGGCTTCCCCTGTCCTTCATTATTTCCTGGAATTTGCTCAAACTCATGTCCACTGAGTCAGTGATCCCATCTCAACCATCTCATCCTCATCCAACTCATCTCATCCTCACCCTCTTTTCCTCCTGCCATCAATCTTTCCCAACATCAGGGTCTTTTCCAAAGAGTCGGCTCTTTGCATCAGGTTGCCAAAGTATTGAGCTTCAGCTTCAGTCTTTTCAATGAATATTCAGGTCGATTTCCTTTAGGATTGACTGATTTGATCTCCTTGCAGTCCATGGGACTCTCAAGTCTCTCAGCACCACAATTTGAAACCATCAATCCTTTGGCATTCAGTCTTCTTTATGGTCCAACTCACATTTGCACACAACTACTGGAAAAACCATACCTTTGACTATATGAAACTTTATCAGCAAAGTTATGTCTCTGCCTTTTGATACGCTGTTTAGGTCTGTCACAGTTTACCTTCCAAGGAGCAAGTGTCTTTTAATTTCATGGCTGCAGTCACCATCTTCAGTGATTCTGGAGCCCAAGGAAATAAAAATCTGTCAGCTTCCACTTTTCCCCCTTCTACTTGCCACAGAGTGATGGGACCAGATGCCACGATCTTATTTTTTTGAATTTACTATGCTTTAATTTTTTAAAACACAGGCATTTATTCAGAAAATCCCAATCTCCTCCAGCATTATTTCTGAAACACTGTGGGAAAGGTATGAATATACTTTCAACACGGGCCCACAGTACTGCAGAGATAGGATAAAGGTAGCCACCAAGGATCCCTCTCCATGTTCTACTTATCGAAGAAGTCTCTTAAAGAAGAAGAAGAAGAAGTCTCTTAAAGAAGAAGTCTCATGCATCCAACCCAGGCTGGTGATCTGTTTCACCCTAGATAATACACATGTTTTGATGCTGTTCTTTCGAAACATCCCACCCTCACCTTATGAGACAAGTGCTCGGGCCTGGTGCACTGGGAAGACCCAGAGGGATCGGGTGGAGAGGGAGGTGGGAGGGGGGACTGGGATGGGGAATACATGTAAATCCATGGCTAATTCATTTCAATGTATGACAAAAACTACTGTAATGATGTAAAGTAATTAGCCTCCAACTAATAAAAATAAATGGAAAAAAAAAAAAAAAAAAAAAGGCGAGGGTTGGATGACCTGAGAGAACAGCATCGACACATGTATATTACCAAGTGTGAAACAGATCTCCAGTCCAGGTTGGATGCATGAGACAAGTGCTCGGGGCTGGTGCACTGGGAAGACCCAGAGGGATCGGGTGGAGAGGGAGGTGGGAGGGGGGACTGGGATGGGGAATACATGTAAATCCATGGCTGATTCATTTCAATGTATAACAAAAACTACTGTAATGATGTAAAGTAATTAGCGTCCAACTAATTAAAAAAAAAAAAAGAAAGTAAAAAAAAAAAATAAAAAAAAAAATAATAAAGGAAGAAGTACTTAATGAAAAAAAAATAAAAAAATAAAATGAATGAACCAAAAAAAAAAAAAAAAAAAGAAGAAGAAGAAGTCTCTTAAAGAAGAAGAAGTCTCTTAAAGAAGAGACAAAGAGCAAAGGAGCTCTGAGAGGACTTGTGCAAGTGCACAATCAAGTACCGACAGTCACCTCTGGAGGCATACTTACTGGGAGCTCAGGTGCGTGCTTCAGAATCTCAAGGGAAAAATAAGAGCCTATGGAATGGCCAATGATCACAAGCTTCATTTCCTTTGGCACTTGAGTTCTCAGGAAAGCTAATTTGTGTTCTACTTGACCACGGAGTCCATAGATGTCCTTAACTTCTTCAGCATTTGAATCTGAAAGGAAATATATAAGTACTTTTCATTCAGTAAGTGAAAGCAATCATTTCACCAGGGGAAATATCTTAACAAAAAAGAAAAAACAGTAACAATAGTAGTAGCTATCATTTATTGAAAGACTACCATGTGCAAGCCACAATGTTGGTGTTTCACTTAAATTATATCTATCAATCTTCACAACAACCGTGGAAAGGAATATTCTTATCTTCATTTTATATAAGAAAATACCAAAGCTCAGATGTTAGGAAACAGATTGGCAGTTACATAGCTATGAAATGGGACCAGTGGGATTCAAACCCAGGTCTCCATCCTTGAAGCCCATGACTCTCAATTATTCCCTGAACTACTGCAGTTTCAGTTTCAGTTCAGTCGCTCAGTCATGTCTGACTCTATGCGACCCCATGAATCGCAGCTCGCCAGGACTCCCTGTCCATCACCAACTCCCGGAATTTACTCAAGCCCATGTCCATCGAGTTGGTGATGTCATCCAGCCATCTATCCTCTGTCGTCCCCTTCTCCTCCTGCCCCCAATCTGTCCCAGCATCAGGGTCTTTTCCAATGAGTCAACTCTTTGCATAAGGTGGCCAAAGTACTGGAGTTTCAGCTTTAGCATCAGTCCTTCCAATGAACACCCAGGACTGATCTCCTTCATGTCCAACTCTTTGCAACCCCATGAATCGCAGCACGCCAGGCCTCCCTGTCCATCACCAACTCCCGAAGTTTATTCAAACTCATGTCCATCGAGTCGGTGATGCCATCCAACAATCTCATCCTCTGTCATCCCCTTCTCCTCCTGCCCCCAATCCCTCCCAGCATCAGGGTCTTTTCCAATGAGTCAACTCTTTGCATCAGGTGGCCAAAGTACTGGAGTTTCAGCTTCAGCATCAGTCCTTCCAATGAACAGCCAGGACTGATCTCCTTTAGAATTGACTGGTTGGATCTCCTTGCAGTCCAAGGGACTCTAAAGAGTCTTCTCCAACATCACAGTTCAAAAGCATCAATTCTTTGGCGCTCAGCTTTCTTCACAGTCCAACTCTCACATCCATACATGACCACTGGAAAAACCATAGCCTTGACTAGATGGACCTTTGTTGGCAAAGTAATGTTTCTGCTTTTTAATATGCTATCTAGGTTGGTCATAACTTTCCTTCCAAAGAATAAGCGTCTTTTAATTTCATGGCTGCAATCACCATCTGCAGTAATTTTGGAGTCCAGAAAAGTAAAGTTGTCACTGTTTCCACTGTTTCCCCATCTATTTCCCATGAAGTGATGGGACCAGATACTGTAGTTTAGGCCAATGGTTTTCAAATTTTAGCATGCATCAGGATCCTCTGGAAGACTTGTTAAAACACGGATTGCTAGGCCCCATCACCAGAGTCTCTGATTCAGTGGGTCTGGGCAAGAGCCTGAAAATTTGCATTTCTACATTTCCAGAAAATGCTGATACTGCTGGTCCCAGGACCACACATTGAAAACCACTGGTTAGGCTCAGTTATATAGACAGCCAAGAAAATCCATGACACTGCTTTCAGATAATCTTTGCTTGTTTAGAGAAATCAAGACTGAAACATTTAAGTAGAAATGTTTCAAACTGTTCCTTTTAACCAGCACAGTCCTAACCCAAAACATTCTTTCTTCCTTTCTAGATTTCTTCTTCTTCTACATTCTTCAAGATCTCATCAAAATTTTATCTAGCTAATTTTTAGGAAAAGTGAATGAGCCTTCCTTTGTGTTTAACTCGTATCCCATTCTTATTTAGCATTTTATTATACTTGTATAACTGTCTTTTCATTTCCTCCTTTAGACTGTGAGCTCCTTGAAGGCAAGGTCCATCTTTCATTTCTGTGTCCTCTGTGAATAGCACCCAGTAAATATCATTGTTGAATGAAAATATGAACTGACTAGACAATCTCAGAGCATGCTGCCAGCTCTGATACTCTATGAGCAGAGAAAACTTCAATAGGTTTTCCCTATGAACATGTAATTGAGGGCAGGAGGAGAAGGGGACGACAGAGGATGAGATGGTTGGGTGGCATCAGCGACTCAATGGACATGAGTTTGGGTAAACTCCGGGAGTTGGTGATGGACAGGGAGGCCTGGTGTGCTGTAGTCCATGGAGTCACAAAAAGCTGGACATGACTGAGAGACTGAACTGAACTGAACAGAATGAACATGTATCGGGGTTTTAACCTCAATGACAGGGTGTAGTATATTTCAAAATTTCACAGGGTAGTCAATTGCTTTCTAAAATTTGAATAATTGGAATCCTAAAGTCTTCATGATTCCTATAAGGTACTGATGCAAACACTAATAAAAGTATCTAAAACTCACTTTGAAGAACTGCTCTTCAGTTTCATCTGTACATGCTGGTTTTTCTTCCTGCAGTGTTCAGCACCCTCTGAATCTAGTTAACTCCTTTTTATCCTTCAGTGTTACCTCCTCTGGGAAGCCTTTTTATGATTCAGTTGATGAGGAGTAAAGTAGCCTTATCTCTTTCAGTTTCCGCAACATTCCATGTCTGTCTCACCACATGATTCCTAATTTACTACTGCTGTACCATTCATGTCTTGCTTATCTTTTTCTCCAATGCCCGGCATACAGTTACTGAAAAGCCTTTTGCTAGATTAGGGAGGCTTAGTTCCCTATTTCAGCAGTACTACGGAAACAGGCGATTTCCCCGATAACCTGTGTTTTGCTCTGATCCTTCTTTCCAGGTCAGTCTAGAATTCATTCTCCATTTAACAAGGAAGTTCAACATAAAACAGAATTGGGAAGAGACAGAATTTGATTTTCATAGGTCCTCTGATGTCTCCAAATCCAAATTTTGATTTAGTTAATATTCTATTTGAGTTCTTTATACTCACTATGCTCATAAACTTTCTCTGATCACTCTACCCAGGAGTGATCACATTGTTCTGATACCCCAAAACAAACACCTACATGTGCGACCCAAGTTCTTTATTTTTCAAAATAGATAGCTTTTGAAAATGTTGATGTCGTCCTTTCATTGTGACAGTATGGTATAGTACAAAGATCAGGAGCAGCAGAGACAAGATAAATCTGGTTCTAAATTCCAGCTAAGCCCCTCACTAAGTGACTCATGCAAATCCTTCAACCTCTGGCTGAAGTCTCTTTACATATAAACAGGAGATAGCAGTTTTAGCCTCTGAGGAATATTGCTTGCATAACACTTTAAAGCACAGAGGAAGGGTCTGGCATAAGCTATTTCAGAAATGAAACTTACGGTTGCTATCATTCCAATTCCTGTCGTTTAAGGCCTCCCTCAAATAGACACCAAAAACATTTACATGGTTAGAGCAAAGAGAAAGAAAATGAGCTAAATACAATAAACATTTAAAAATGTCATTGATCCTAGAAATAAGGCCCTATAACATATTTAAGGATGCTGCTGCTGCTAAGTTGCTTCAGTCGTGTCTGACTCTGTGCGACCCCAGAGATGGCAGCCCACCAGGCTCCCCCTTCCCTGGGATTCTCCAGGCAAGAACACTGGAGTGGGTTGCCATTTTCTTCTCCAATGCATGAAAGTGAAAAGTGAAAGTGAAGTCGTTCAGTCATGTCTGACTCTTAGCGACCCCATGGACTACAGCCTATTAGGCTCCTCCATCCATGGGATTTTCCAGGCAAGAGTACTGTAGTGGGTTGCCATTGCCTTCTCCATATTTAAGGATGATTATAATTCAAATCACTACTGAAAGGAATATTTCAGAGGTAAGTCTGTCTTTAACTCTGGGAATTGTTCAGTAGATTGCCAAGATAAACACACCATTTAGTGTTTTCTGAAGTAATGAGACTAATGGGGAAAGTACTTTGTATAAATAAACAATCAATGATGAAAAATTTCAACGTGCTCTCTGGATATTACTTTACTAGCAAAAACTAAAAGCCAAAAGAATATTTATATACTTGACTGTATACTTTCTCTATTATTAATATACTCTGAAAAAATTCCAGGAATCATTAGCTTACTCTCCATAAAACATTGCAAAAAAATCACATTCAATTGTATCAAAATCAGGATAACATGGAAATGATTTATAGCATTCTTATTATAGGGAAAATGTACTCCAAGTTAAAGTCAACTAAGTATATTTGGAACGAACTGTTTCTAAATTGAAGACTGTCTGAATTAATACATGGGATCACTCACCTACAGCCAGACATCCTGGAATGCAAAGTCAAGTGGGCTTTAGGAAGCATCACTATAAACAAAGCAAGTGGAGGTGATGGAATTCCAGTTGAACTATTTCAAGTCCTAAAAAATGATGCTGTGAAAGTGCTGCATTCAATATGTCAGCAAATTTGGAAAACTCAGCAGTGGCCACAGAACTGAGAAATGTCAGTTTTCATTCCAATCCCAAAGAAAGGCAATGCGAAAGAATGCTCAAACTACCGCACAACTGCACTCATCTCATACGCTAGCAAACTAATGCTCAAAATTCTCTAAGGCAGGCTTCAACAGTATGTGAACCATGAACTTCCAGATATTCAAGCTGGGTTTAGAAAAGGCAGAGGAACCAGACAGCAAATTGCCAACATCTGCTGGATCATCGAAAAAGCAAGACAGTTCCAGAAAAGCACCTATTTCTGCTTTATTGACTATGCCAAAGCTTTTGACTGTGTGGATCACAGCAAACTGTGGACAATTCTGAAAGAGATGGGAATACCAGACCACCTGACCTACCGCCTAAGAAATCTGTATGCAGGTTAGGAAGCAACAGTTTGAACTGGACATGGAAAAACAGACTGGTTCCAAATAGGAAAAGGAGTACATCAAGGCGGTATATTGTCACCCTGCTTATTTAACTTATATGTGGAGTACATCATGAGAAACGCTGGGCTGGAAGAAGCACAAGCTGGAATCAAGACTGCCAGGAGAAATATCAATAACCTCAGACATGCAGATGACACGACCCTTATGGCAGAAAGTGAAGAAGAACTAAAGAGTGTCTTGATGAAAGTGAAAGAGGAGAGTGAAA